TAATAAAAATGTATCAGTGACTGTGAGTTTTGCAAAACGTGTCATAATAATATTTTATTAGTGTTAATGTTAACCCCACCAAGAATATTTAAATCCACTGAACCATGTGTTTATCTTTAATGTCTGTACTCCTGAGATTTACAGAGGAACAAATCATGAGAATGAGTTTAGTTTTCAGCTCTGACTGATTCAACCACAGATTCTTCATGTCTCCTGACAAACAGGTCACACTGAGTGGAGCGGTCGACCGTTCCAAGATGGCGGCCATACAGCTCGTCAGCGCGATAGCGCTCAATGCTGGATCTAGTGTTTATATGATATCTATGTTATTCCAGGTCAACTCCGCTTCTCAATAAATAGGTCCCGCCTTTAATCTGAAAGAGGCGTAAATTAAAGTTAGTCACAGCGCGAGCGGGCGGAGTTAACGCTAAACAACGTATTTTTTTGGCGAACTAACCGCCTCTCCTCTGCAGTTGTCTATATCAGTCGCCTGGTGTCTAGCGTCGAAACGTAATTTGTTTCCGTGTATTCCGCCCTGCTCCCTCTCCTGTCAATCAAATCTATTACGTAGGTCTTGTTAATGCTGCATAGCGACTGAGAATAGCTTGAGAAGTGACCGCAGGTAATAATAATAATTAAAAAAAAACTCAACCTAGACATGTTACGAACTGTGTTTATTATGTACGAAGCGTTGCTTCTTATTTGTGATAGTGTCATGTGTTTTTTCCTCATCGCAGGTGAACGCTAGTTTAGCTTTGGTGTGCTAACGTTGCGTTAGCTGTTTATCAGAGCAAGTTATCAGCGCTGTGGTGGAGCAGACGCGAAGCGGTGAAGCCTCGTGCCTGCCCCGCTGCTGCTCAGAGCCGTGTTATCCGCCGCCTGCTCGTTGGCCCACATGCTAACAACCGACGAGCCGCCGCTAGCACAGCGCTCCTCATGCTCGGTAGCCTCCGAGACACATCGCCTCTGGCCTCTTCTACCAAAACATAAAGTTATTGTGCGCACAATGTCATAAGCCAAATATTCTAAAATAACTTTACAGTTTTAACAAACGCTAATATTACGTCGGATTGGAGGTGATGCAGTAAGATGTATTGTAGGCATCTGTTTACAGTGACGTCACGTTGTGTCAGGACATCAGATCACCTGTTTCTAACAATTAACAGTGAGTTTGACGGTGAATGAGTTTTCTTGTTGGCTTGCAGGTTGGCTGTGACTGCAGCCAGGACAGAAGAAGATGCCTTCTCCATCTTTTACCCTGGATGCTCAGCTGAGATTTCATGACAAATGGCTGAAGATAGACCTACAGGTATGGAAATATTTGATCAGAAATAGACCAAAGCAGTTGCTTGTGTATTTTGGTCCGTGAAGTTGTTCTCATGTTTGATGGTGAGTTGGATGTGACAACAGAAGTTGCTCAGTGTTCGCAGACCTAATGTGAAGCCTTGCTTGCTCTTTGTTTCCAGTAAGGCGGCTGTATTCACACGTGTGTTGGCTGTGACAGGTAATTGTTTAGGTGTGATGTTAGGAGTAGGAAGTGACTGCATATTACATGAGCTCCAACATTGAATCGGTTTCTACTGCAGCCTAATGGAAAGCACAAAGTAACTTCACAAGCCGTGCAGCAAGCTTCATCAGTCTATGTTGGCAAAATACTCTATCTCAAACCACGCAACATGGATGATGTCAACTTTCAGAAATTAATCTTTGGATTTGCATTTAAACTAATATTTAAAACTGGTTCATTTCAAAATGGCTGCTACAGCCAAATAACATTATTAAAGAAAAATGGCTGTAAACCAGTCAGTTTGACAGATATTGAGCTTAAACTTAGTGTGGTAGTAGCTTAAAGTCATCCCCAACTTTTGTGCCAAGTTTATACTGGTTGTAAGAGAGCTGTTTTTAAAACTTAGTCTTTAATTATTGGAGTCACTTGTGTGATGGATATTAATGAAACTTTCAGAAAGTACTAACTAGGTTTATTTACAATGGATTAACTTTTGGCATCACATTAATTCAAGATGGTCGCCACAGCCAGCTGACGTTATGAAACACAAAAAAGTCGAGTCATATTTACTGATGGACAGTAGTCCCTCGCTACTTTGCAGTTTGACTTTCCCGGACCAGCTCTTTCGCTCTTTTTCAACGATTGTCAACTTTAATATTACTCACGTGATTGTGACGGTACAACATAAAAAGTTAACAAAAAAAAAAACTTTGGATAGGCGCCACCATTTTGTAGTTTTCTTTCAATAAGCCTACACTTTAGAGCTGGGCGATATATTTTAAAAATATCATTATAATTTTAGCGATATAAGTTGAGACTATATCGATATAAAACGATATAGTTTTATACTTGAAAATCCTCTTGCTGTCTTTCTCCCACTCGCCGCCCTCCTTCTACCTGACTGAACACAAACCCAGCCCCTCAGCCGCTCTCCCCTCCTTCCTGATTCTGCAGGAGGTGGGCGGACACCGAGTAAACACGGCAGATATGAAGAGCAGCTGCTGCTGAGGATTTACAAAACGACTCTTCTTTCAGAGCTAGTTTGGATTTAGATTGTCAGATGAGGGGCAGAAAAATTATTTCTGTAGATAATGCTGAAAACAGACCGGACGAAAGGTCTGAACTATGAATCTTTTTCACCATTTAAACAACGGAGTGGCGTATGAACCGTGAAGCTGCAGCTCCGAGCGTTTTTTCAGCCTGCTTTCTTGAAACAAACCACGGGTCAGAGCTCATTTAGCCGTGCTGTGCTTTATGAGAGGAGCAGAGAGAGGTGGCAACATTAATAAATCTGCAGTTACCAGACCATACCACTTTATTTATAAAGCACTTAAAACAGCTACAAGGCCAACCAAAGTGCTGTACAGACAGAACAACAGGTAACACACAAAGCAAAATACAAAATGAGGTCAATCAGAATATAGACATAAGATCACACATCAACTCTACAGTTTTCATTTGATCCACTACATGATCCCTGTCACACTCTTCAAGTCTACAGCATTCAATTGATCCACTACATGATCCCTGTCACACATCGACACCACAGTTTTTATTTGATCCACTACATAATCCCTGTCACACATCAAGTCTACAGTTTTCATTTGATCCACTACATGATCCCTGTCACACATCAAGTCTACAGTTTTCATTTGATCCACTACATGATCCCTGTCTCCCATCGACTCCACAGTTTTCATTTGATCCACTACATGATCCCTGTCTCCCATCGACTCCAGTTTTCATTTGATCCACTACATGATCCCTGTCTCCCATCGACTCCACAGTTTTCAGGCAGCTGGTCTCAGAAGTAGTTCTCCAGTGTAGTGCAGCTGTTTATCCGTAGTGATTAGAAGGGACCAGTGAGAAGATGCTGCTGTTGCTCTGTGCACGTCACTTCCTGCTCCTTGTAAGACTCTGGTGTCAGTGGAGCTTTGTGACAGCACCAACTGCTTCTGAAAGTATTCCCATCTTTCACCAATGATAACAATGTCTGTTGTAAAGTAGTGAGAAATGTTCTTATGTTGTCAGAAAAATGACTCCTCCGTGTGTTTTTACACATTTAAACATTCACAGCTGCATGTGCTTACGTTTATGTTATATAGTTAATAAATCGTGAACTTAACTAATGGATGACTTCCTGCCTCTTCACATGCAGCCGCGCTGCCTGTCAAGGTCTACAGTATAAGAAGATATATAATATATAAAATTTCACCTGCTATTTTCATCAAGTTACTTGTTGTTTTAGTTGCAGGTATGGTGCTATCAGTTTTCTTGATAGGAACGTGTTTTCCAAATAACGCAGAGTTTAATATTTTAGTCACAACTTATTTTGTGTCTTGGTTTGTGTTTTGTCAGCGAGCATTCTCTGCAGAGGGACTGAGTGAGATGTGGAACGAAATGGTAAAAGATGAGGAGATAACGATTACCAGAGACGTTCCGGCTCACACAGGTAGCTCTCTCCCTCATCAAGAACTCACTTTCTGTTTCTCTCACATGGCTGTCATGTGTTTATGTCAACACACAACATTCCTCCTTCATATTAAAGAACGGCACCAGACACAGGAGCAGTGTGCTTTCTGTAACGAGCACATGAACATCATGGTACTTTTTCATGTATTTAGTAGAAGACTGCACTGATTGTTTTGGAGCTCAGAAGAAGGACGAGCCCAATGATAAAGAGAAGAAGGAGGAGGAAGACATGTCAACATTTGCACATCACTCCATCATGGAGACCTGGGACTGGGGCCGTCAGCCAGGTAGGGAAGGAAACTTGAACTTGTTCTCATCTTTCCCTCCTACTCTGCTTTTTATTTTTACACCTCTCTGTTTCCAAATGGTTTATTAATACTCTTGTGACTCCACATGGTTTCACAACACCTAAATGTTGACTACATACAAGTATATGCTTCAGGCTCAGCTGATCACCTTGTTACAACGTCTGGAAGTTACAGCTCATTTAAAGAAACATATATTTGTTTTATGTTACATTTATGATCAACACATCTTGAGCTTCATTTAATTTTATTTAGTTATTTTAGGAAACTTCACGTGCACTTTAGTTTTTGTGGTGGATTTATTGATCTATATTTTGTGTAGACTTTTTCATCTAAATAACAGAAGGATCTTTTTATTTTTATACTTGGAGACTGAATACTTTACTAAATAAAGTAATTTCAGTAAAATTACCCCTTGGTTTTTTAAAATTTAGTATAATACTGCAAAGCAACATGTTAAGTTAATTTTGTCAAAGAAATAACTACGATTTCTGTTTTTTTTTTAAATTGTGAAATTTATCGTCAGAATGCTCTGAAATATCATATTATATTTGAGCCATATCGCCCACCCCTAGTCCAGAGTGGGGCAACAAACAGGTGTAGCGCTTCACCTTTTCCACCCACATTTTGATGTTGTCGGTCCATGGAGTCGAACCTGTGACCTACCCATCACAGGCCCACCTTCTCTAACCTCTGTGCCACCACTTTCCCCTTTGGTGCTTTAGCTTGTGAATTGTGGAAACTCTGAAGTGACAACTTGCTTGTAGGACAACTGGTAGGACTGAGCGGTTATTTTGACCCAGCACAACATAATACTGGTACACATGACAGTGTGGTGGAAAGCGGGTGGCGTCTCTCACCCAGTGTGGTTACTGCAGGAACTGGGTGGGACAGTGTTTGGCTGGAGGAGATAACCGTCAGGTCAGCTGCTCTTCTCTGACTGTAGGTTATGCTTCATGGCTGCTTGTCCTGTTTTATTGATTACAGCTGGGACCGCCTTGGTTTGATGTTCCAGTGAGTGTAACTGGGTCACTACATGAACTCTGTTATTGATGCTTACAGTTCCAGCAGCTCACTTCCTGCTTTTCCATTGTCTGATTCGATATGTGAACGTACAGGTTGGACCTCAGTCATCATGTACATAGTTCCCATGTGACGTAACATCAGGGGCATTTCTGCCTCTAGCAGCAGGTGCAGACACAGCGCAGTTTACCGCTAGTTAATTTTCTCAAGTTTTCTTTCTTGAAGTAGACTGCACTGGTTGTTTCCTGCTGGTAGAGGATGTTACAATCGGGGAGACGTTTGGGCAAAGCGCAGTTTTCACTTAATCCCAGAAATAATGAAATGTGAAGGAGCTCCATGGAGGAGCTCACCTCAGAACATCGTTGAGTCTGGATAAGGATCTGCCCTCGAAGACGTCGTGCTCCCATCACTTTCTGTCCGGTAAACAAAAAATTCTATATAAATCATTTTGTGAAACAATGTCAGAGTATAACCGTGTGTGTGTTGGAACTGTTGTTTTCATGATTTAGCGTCTCTACTACTGTAGTTAGCTTAGAATGCTATGCTACGTGCTAACCTCCACACCGTAACACTCACAGCAACAAAGTTCTGGTTCTGGTCCCGTGTTGAGCCTGGACTGTTTGTTGTCAGGAGGCTGCATGTTATTTTATTTAACCTTTATTTAGCTGGTTAGACATGACTGAGACAGTTTACATGTCTTTGTTTCAAGGTAGACCGGGTCAGTATGACGTTACAGCAGCATGTGAGCCGTCATTAAAGCAGAGTTATTAAAGCACATTTAAAATAATGATGTGAATAAAAGAAGAGAAAAACACACATAAAGTTAAATTGTACTAAAATGTGAGTGAATCTCAGTTAAAGCATTTACTAAACAAATCTGTCAATAATTAATATAAATACATGTTATACAGTACACACTGTGTATATGTATATACTGTATATACTGTACAGTATATGCGTCACACACACATTGTATTTAATATACATAATATTTGAACACTGTGACATTGTCAGACTAGAACTATCAGTTTGTTTGATGTTGAGTTCCTCTTTACTCTTGTGTGTGAACAAAGCAGTGGATGCATCTGTACTGAAAATATTCCATAACACAAGTTCATCTTTGTGTATTACAACATTTGTTCTATTGAATGATTTGTTTTTTCAGGAAGGCGTGCACACAAGTCAAACACAGACTGGTCTCCTACACTGAAGCTGACAGACACATGTAAGCCCCCAGTATACTCCCGCGTACGTCCATACGCAGAGGTACGCGCGTACGTACGCAAAGGTACGAGCGTACCCCCCAGGGCATGTCCGTGCAAAGCTCAATTTTTCAGAGTCCGAGATTCTTTGTCATTCGCACCTCATGTGGTACATAGGATCAAAGATATGTACTAAGAAAAACATCAACTAAATATACACTAAGCACTCATAACATAAAAACATTGAACATCAGCACAAACATGAACATGAGTCTGTGAGCAGATGAGCAAGAATGAACACATCAACATGAAACAGATCAGCAGCAACATACCATACCATACCATACCAATTTATTTATATAGCACTTAAAACAGCAACAAGGCCAACCAAAGTGCTGTACAAAAGAACACAAACATGCACAGCAGACAGGAAAACATAAAATAGAAATACAGATACAAATAGCAGCAGAAGCTAACTAAAATGGCCAACAGAGTAGAGAACAGACCGGGCCAAAACAAATCACACCGTGTTAAAGGCAAGAGAATAGAAGTGGGTCTTCAAGCGAGACTTAAAGACTGAGAGTGTGGGAGCCTGCCGGACACTCAGTGGCAACTCATTCCACAGTCGTGGACCTGCAACAGAGAAAGCCCTGTCACCTCTGAGCTTACGACGGGTTTCTGGGACTGAGAGAAGCATCTGGTCTGCTGACCTCAGAGAGCGCGGTGGGACATATGGCTGCAGAAGATCAGTGAGATAGGATGGGGCGGAACTGTTCAGTGATTTAAAAACATACATGAGAATTTTGAAATGGATCCGAAGGTGAATGGGTAGCCAGTGCAGGGAGGCCAAAACTGGCGTGATGTGCTCTCTATAGCCTGTACCAGTTAAAAATCGGGCTGCAGCATTTTGGACCAGTTGTAGACGAGCAATGGAGGACTGACTGATTCCAAACAGAAGTGAATTGCAGTAATCAAGCCTAGATGTTATGAAGGCGTGGATCACTGTCTCAAGGTTCTTTTTGGAGAGTATAGGCTTCAGCTTAGACAGCTGTCTCAGCTGAAAAAAACAGGATTTTACCATCATGTTTACTTGACTGTTGAGTTTTAAGTACGGGTCCATTATCACCCCCAGATTAGTGACCTTTTGTTTCTCTAGCGGGGCTAGAGAGAAAAGGTCAATGTCATGGTTCATGAGTGAGCCACTGGGATGGAACAGCATGACTTCAGACTTCTTCTCATTGAAGCTTAAGAAGTTTAAAGCCATCCAGTCCCGGATGTCAGCCAGGCAGTCAAGAAGAGGCTGAATAGAGCGTGTGCTTCTGTGCCTCAGGGGGAAGTAAATTTGGCAATCATGGGCGTAGAAATGAAAGGGTATGTTGTGTTTGCGGAAGATAGCACCTAGTGGCAGCAGGTGTAAAGAAAAGAGAAGGGGACCGAGGATGGACCCCTGCGGTACCCCCCACTGGAGCGCTGTCGATGCCGAACTAGAATCTTTGATATTGACACAGAAGGTTCTGTCAGATAGGTAGGACCCAAACCATTTAAGGGCTGACCCTGTGATGCCCACCCACTGCTCCAGTCTAGAAATGAGGATCTTGTGGTCGATGGTGTCAAAAGCAGATGTAAGGTCCAATAGGACAAGCAGCACAGAATCACCTGCGTCTGTGGATATGAAAATGTCATTAAAAACCTTCAGTAGAGCAGTTTCAGTGCTATGGAGAGATTTGAAGCCAGATTGGAATAACTCAAGGATAGCGTGATCCCCCAAAAACTGTTTCAACTGAGACTCCACAATTTTTTCCAGTAGTTTAGAGGTGAATGGGAGTCTGGAGACAGGCCGGAAGTTGGACATGACTGAGGGGTCAAGGTTAGGTTTTTTCAGGAGGGGCTGGACAGCAGCATGTTTAAAAGTCTTTGGCACCACACCTGAGGATAAACTGCTATTCAGAATAGAGAGAATAAAAGGACCCAGGGTAGGAAAAACTTCCTTTAGTAGTCGAGGGGGACCACATCAAAGGGGGAACCAGATGGTTTCATGCTGCACATTACCTGCTCCAGAGAGGACAGAGAGATGGGCTCAAAGTGGTCAAATACAGCCACACACTGAGATGGGATGGACAGATCATGAGCTGGTGGAGAAATGAGTGCCCGGGTGTTTGCCACTTTTTCTAAAAAGAAATGGAGGAAGTTCTCACACAGCTCAGTTGAGGCTTCCAGAGGTGAAGGCTCACTGAGGTGTAGAACTGAGTTCAGGGTGGAGAAAAGAACTCGGGGGTTGTGGGAGTTGGAGACAATTAAATCAGAAAAGAATTTACATTTGGCAGCTTTAACGGTTTTCTGATAGTGACGCCAACTCTCCCTTAACATTTGAAAAGACACCTGGAGCCTGTCCTTCCTCCACTTTCGTTCAGCTTTGCGACACTGCCGCCTAACGGCTCGAGTGACGTCATTCAGCCAAGGCTCTGATTTAAGTTTTGTTTTTCTGGTCTTAAGGGGAGCAACACGGTCCAGAACATTTAAACAGGCAGAGTTGAACTGAGAGGTTAGCTCCTCAGTGGTAAGAGACACCGGGAACTGTTAGATCCTCTCAGAATTAAAACCTTCATTAAAACGAGCAGCAGTGAAACGGTTAATGGAACGCGTACGTGCAGGAACGCGCGTCTTAGCAGTAGGACAAGGGGGGGTGAAGTCAAACAATACAGGCATGTGATCTGAAAAAACATTGTCACCGATTTTCAAATTAGAAACAGAGACATC